TATTTCTAACTTTTTTATTCAGTCGCAAACTAGGTCAATGTTGCGAGCAAGTTTTATTTCGCAAATGCAAATTCTGGAAAGTTCTACGGATTTATACGAATGGGAGGCATATGCGTGTTCGCTAGCATTGTGAAAAAACTTCGTGATATTTTTGTACGACTTTTTCGTTTTAAAATTGAGTTACATCAGAAATACTCGCAACGATTTTGTTGTCTATACGACTAAAAACGGTTCCCGCATGCGGGCGCTGCGGCATACTCTGACAGGAAATCTCTCACCACGCATTTCCCAATTGCGCCCGAAAGAACCGTATGTTTTCACTTAAACTTTTCTCTAAAAGATTTCTTATATTTTGTACCGCGTAAGTTTTCATTTCAAATAACATCTTTCTAGTAACTAGGCCAATGTTATTGAAGTTTTAAGAAGCAAATATATTTGAAAGTATTACTTGTAGCCATTTTTCTGATAAATTAGAAAATTGTTATGTTTTGATTTAACATAAAATTGGTAGTTTTCTTAATTGTTTGGGGTTATAACATTTTCACCAAATATCAATTCCAAGGAGTCATCGAATCTCGTGTTTAGGTTTTGTGTTATTTAGGAAAGAGGAACATAAACCTCCTTTTTATGCTGTTATCAATTTAAGAAGAAATCAATTTGTGTTTCATTTGTTTTTTTCTAATTAAGATTACACATTTTTAAAATTAAATTACAGTAAAACTACATAACAAATGATACAAGTAATTTAAGGCCATTTAACAAGGCCTAATTTAAGTCCCTTACCACTCTTTTCTCATAAGGAGAGGATGGGAAGGGGAATTGGATTTGACAGTGGAGGCGATGCATAGGAAGGGGAAATATCCTCTTTATGTGCGTCTCCTCTTCCGTCGGATAAGTATAGGCAACGCATCTGCAATTGCGGATGTCTATGGGCAGCGGTCTCTTCGCCATTTTGACGGATTCGGGTGGCCGCTTGCTCATTTGCCACCTTATATTATAAAAAAAAGTTCATTTGAATAAGATTATAAACATGAGAATGTATACTTAGCAAGGATATTAAACAAACTAAGTAGCGAAGTATATAATTTAAGCTACAAAATAACTTAACTTTATACTCCAGGCCAATTACAGCTAAGGGACCTAGTTAAAACTTTACGCAAAAACTGTAAACTTTTCTTAAAGAAATATATACGTTTTGACCTAATAACCCGACCTCTCGATGGTGATGGTAGTTGAGTGCAACTGCTTCAGATACTATGCTTAGTTTGAAGAAACAAAGAGCCCTCGAATACTAACAAAGCTATTGAAATCTATACTGAAATTCTTAATTATTTACGTGTAGAGATTGTAATGATATCGTTGTATTTGAAGAACGGGTGTACAAATATAAAAGTCCCAATTTAGTTAAAGCGTATTATGTTACCTACTATCTAGTTATATACCGTATACGGGATAAACAAAAATATAGATAAAATACAGTGTCATTGGTATAGTTGTTAAACGTTTGATCTTAATATACACAATCTATTCGTCTACGAACTCCGCCATGTAATAATGTTTTTGATTTTCGAATTCCACATGTACTTTTACCCGCAGTGCAGTGTGTTTAACTAATGCTGGGTTTCTGAAGTTCCCGCTTATTTTTTATCTATCGATTCATTAGTGTTAGGATAACATATTTTTCAATGGAATAAAACTAAAGTTACCAAGTTCGGAATTGCATTTCATTAATTTATCGAAAAACACTAAAGAACGGTTAAAGGTAGCTGGGAAACAGGCCATAAGACCTATTAGACTTAGGGTAGCTAGTACTAGCTAAGTAGATGATAATTGTCATTTAGGGTTAACATATAATGTTTAGTTTATTTCTTAGTTCATTTTTATTTAATTTTCAATACTACAGAACATAAAAATACATTCGATAGTTAAAATAAAATTTTATGTTACAGGATTGGATATAAATTTTGAAGCAATAAATCAATGAAAAGGAAGTGACATTTGGTACAAAAACAACGTTATAAATTTTGATCTGCAAAAACAAACCTTACAAAATCGACATCGTTTTTCACAATTCCAAGATTAAAGATTGATATAAAGATAAATGAAACTTTTAGGGCCAGTCCCATCAAATTGTAAACTTTCTGATAATTATCAAACGTGTTAAATATGTAATGGATATATCGGATTTTGTTATCTGTCAGTGACGTCATTATTAAGCTATCTGAGCCTCTATCAGTCAGTGGTGGGACAGGCCCTAATACTCTTCGTGAGAAGTCTATCAGTGTGTTATTTGTGTTAATATAGATTTAATGTGTAATTAATTATTATACCAGATATGTAGTCTTAATATTTTAAAGAGGAAAAAAATGTATTTTTGCATGTATTGGCATACCTCAAAACCTATTGGTCTGATTTCAAAAATTCTTTTACCATTAAAAAGCTACGTTATCACTAAATACAAAGGCTATTTCTGTAACTTTATGCGGACAAAATCGCGAGCAACAGCTAGTGTAGTACAGGTGTTTCTAGTCTCTAGGGGCCGGTTTATTGACAACATATTTGACAAGGTAAGGTCCACGCAATAAATAAAAGGAAGCCTGTACGTGACTCTCTCGGATATTCCAAGTACTTTTATGATGTACGATGCTTCTTTCGAGTACGTAATTGGATTTTTGTTCTTGACAAAAATACCCCTTGGTGTGTATACATAAAAATTTATCTTATAGGTCAAAATCTATCAAAACCAAGAAGTTTTTTACGATTTCTTACATTATATTATTATTGAGGTTATTTCCTAGTTATTGCTAGAATAGTTGGTTTTAAGATAATAATTTTACATGATAACGTAAAAGTCAAACACCTAAAATGATTGTTCCTCTCTTTTGTGCAACTCTCTCTCTCGCACGAACTCAGGCGAAACGTGAGTTATGCTTTCATGCGTGCGATTGAAAATGTTTTTATTTCCGAAATAATATGAACATGTCTTATAATAAATTAAAATAAAATAAACATAAAATACGAATACGAATATATCCATTTCAATAGAACGTTAAGCTTTATTTTCTATATGCAAATAGACAAGCAAACAGCCGTATTTCCTTGAATCATATCAACACGATATTGTATTTGCCTTACAAAATTGAATATCCTTGAGGGTTGTTCGAATGTTACGAAAGACGTCTGTGAAGGCTAGAATAAGGCACTCTATTTCTTATATTACGGTGACTCAATTGTCGTTACATAAATGTACTTCGAAGGAAACATTGTTTTTTTTTCTCGTCAATTTTCGCAGCAGTACTAGTGCAGGGGTGGCGAACATTTATGCATTAAAGTACCTTTTTTTTAAAGAAATGTTTAATGCAGTCTTAGACGTACCATCAAATTTTTTTAACCGCGATTATTACGTCAATTCCATGGTGCATCGACTTGCCCAAAATATTATGTCGTGTGCCAGTTGTTCGCCACCTCTGTGCTAGTAGTTATTAGCGTGACTATGCGTACATTAAATAAATCGCAATTTTTGTGGAATGACGTAAAGAATATCTGCTTTCTTTTGTGATGCAAATGTTGCACTAATGAAAGCGGATTCTTTTCTCAATAAATTTTTAATTAAGTGAGACGCTTTCAACTCAATGAAATTTTTCAACTCTTTGTTTAAATGAGATATATCCTTTTGAAGTCATGAATGGGAGAGGTGAATAAGCGTCTTATTAATAATCTATACTTATATTGTATAGAGGAAAGATTTTTATTATTATATGTATTGAAATAACTCAAAAACCACTGGGTAGATTTTAAAAATTCTTACTCCATTACATAGCTACTTTATCAGTGAGTAATATAGGCTATACGTTCTTTAATACTTTTTTAATTTTAACGCAAAGTCGCGAGCAACAGCTATTCTCATGTTTTTTAATCGTGGGTATCTCTCTAACAAAACTCTGACATCTCTATTTTTGTCATGGAGTATGAAGGGAACCACAATTTTGTACAAGGTTCTGAGCATCAGGATTTCCAGGCAAGTATAGCTGATTCAAAGGTTAATATTTTACTTGACTTAATACAGTTCCATGAAATACACGTGTCTCAATTTCTACCTTAACGTAAAAGGCTTTCACATTTTCAGTCTCAGGCTTTGGAAAATATTACCTAAATCGCAATGTTGGATGTTTGCCAAAAATAGTTTCTAAAATTTGTAACCTAATACATTCAAGTTGATGTTATGCTACATTTGTAGAGGCTGAAGTCAGTATGAATTTTTTACACTACATTATTTGTTAATCAAATTCCCATTTGGGTTACAATGAACGATGTTATAAAAGAAAGTGATACTAAGTTATTATTCTTATTTTTATACACTCATTTGGTACATAATAAATAATCATCATGTACTTTGTATGCAAATAGGACGTTCCAATATAAAGATAAATATTGTAGACATGATATTGTTTTGGACTGTATCTATAGGTTGAGTGTGTATACGATCGTGCGACAAAAATAGATGTTTTGAAAGTAATTCGAGTAGTAACGAAAGGTTAATTCGTGAACTTGAGTAAGGAGATTAAAGGCCTGTCCCACAACTGGCTGATAGAGACTCAGATTGTTTAAAAATGACGTCACTGTCAGATAAGAAAACAAAATCCGATATTTCCATCACATATTTTATCGTTGGATTGTTACAATTTACAATTTGGTGGGACAGGCCCTTAATCGGGAATATAGGCTCTTTTCGAATATTACAAAGCAACTATTTGATTTTCTGCTATTTAAAAATATCAAAATATCAGAGTTAATGATATTTAGTCAAATTTAAATAGACAATATTCTATAGAAAATTTCTATCCGGAAATACCGAGAATTACTTTGTAAAAGTGTATATATCGCTCTCTTTCACTCTACTCAGGTGACATATCTTTTATCTCCCTCTTGTAACGAAATGTGACGCGTCCTTGAATATTTATTCCTTTACTAAATATCTAATTAAAATTTCAAACACTTACCACAGACCGTACTAACAGTTCAATAGTGAACCAAACATTGCATATCAGTTCAATATAGAAGAAGGCGATATGCGGCTGGCCGTTGTCAAGCCACGCTGGCCTGGTGTCCAGCTCCGCTGTCGAGTTCTCCACATCCTCGAGGAGTAAAGGCTCCGACACCCGAAGGTCAGGGTGTGTTTTCAAACAGAAGCACAGCACTGACACGCAGATGAAGAACACCGATATCGCTGATATCACCTGGAACAATTGAAATTTATACTAACTGTACTGTACTATACTAACAGTAGTTCTACTGATGTATTACTTAGTAATAACCACTTTTTAATGGTAAAAGAATTTTCTAGTACAGTTCAATAGTTTTTGAATTTTTTTCATATACAAAAATATACATCTCTTTAGAACGTTAGTATAAATCTATACTTCTATACTAATATAATAAAGCGTAAACACACACTTCTTTGTGGCGTAAGATCTCAGCAATTAAATCATATTTTTTAATAATTCTTTTTTTAATAAAAAGCCTTACACTTACGTCATACTTTAGGCTATATATTTTCACGCTATTAAACTTAGGGGGTAAATAGCTCGGATGAAAACCTTGATGTGGGTAAGATGCCATAAGTTGCTGCCAATATCAAGGAAGCAAGGTTGCCATGATTTGTAATGTCATTTTGACGTTTGCATTTGATAATGTGACAAATGTAAATACAATAAAATTTTCAAAATTACATGATATCCGCACGGGAATAGTTAGTTACAGATATAAAATAAATGTTTAAAAATTTAAAGAAAATATATAAAACTTTTATCTTTGTTGAAATTAAAATGAAAGTTAATGTAGTGTGAACTGATAAGACTAACGTAAAGTCTAGAAAAGATATTATAAGGACATAAATACAGGCCAGTGAATCTTTAAAAAAAAAATAGCCGATATAACTGGCACGATACATTTTTGGCTAATTTATTTTCGAAACAATTCGCTTAACTTTTTTTACGTTTTCCGTTCAAAGTTCTGTCCTGTTTTTTTCCATAAAATATTGAGTTTCACGGACAGAGATCTGTCATCAATCACTATGCTATATAACGCGACATACTATGTACATCAGTCCAAGTCAAAAGCGAGATTAAATACATTTTTGGTGAACATATAACATAAATGTTTGTCCGTAAGACGGTGTCTGGACTTTAACAACACTTTAGAAAGGTAGCTGATGCAGGTAGGTAACTTTTTAAATTCTGCTACGACAAAGTCGTGGGCGACCACTAGTTAAACAATAAATGTGTTTCTTCACTTCAATTGACTTTCTTTCAACTCTCTTTTCCCATTTATAAGAAAACAGAGGACTAGATAGAGAAGGAACCAGAATATGCATGGCTTAAAAACCTATTTTATCATATACGACTTCACCCGCGTTAAATAGAAAAATAATAAAAAATATAGCCTATGTTACTCACTGATAAATTACCTTTCTAATGGTGAAAGAATTTTTGAAAACGGCCCAGTAGTTTTTACGAAAATCAAATACATACAAATATCCAAAAATACAAATATTTCCTCTTTATAATGTTAGTATATAGATAAATTCGTCTTCTAAATGCAATTCCCTTTCCCATTTTTTATTTAATTAACAAAAAAAATGAAGTTATTTTGATATTTTTCATATATTTTTTGTTCCCTTGTGCCGCAGTTTGTTTCCCGATCACGATTTGTCAAATTACTGTACCGTTGAAATATTTATAGAAATTCTGACGCACGTTTTATTGCGAAAACAGCGGCCGGCACTTGTTTTGTTAACCCTACACTTTGTTGTATAATAAATTAAATTTTGATGCTGTTTTATGTTTAATTTGGTTAATTAATTTTGTTTAATTATACATGAGTATGACAAATACGGAATATTATCCATACCGTCATTTATTTTTGTTCATTTATCACATACGAGTTTTGGCCCGCGACTCCGTCCGCGCGGTTTAAAAAAAGACAAAACCAAGTAGCCTATGTGTCCTTCCAGACTATGCTCTGCTTCCATGACAAATTTCATCAAGATCCGTTCAGCCGTTTAGGCTACGAACTCTAACAAACATCCATCCATCCATCCATCTAAACTTTCTCATTTTAGTAAGAAGTAAGGTTAGTAAGAAGTAAGATAGTTTATTTGATGTGTTCATATTGTTTGGTGTAAAAAATCCGATATTTTATTATTAATTGTTTTAAGTAGCTAGCGACAAAACAGGAGAAAATCTTAAAATGCAGAACTGAATACTAAAAGTATTGGTTCATAATAATCTTACTAATATTATCCCTCAAGTTTAGATAGATGGATGGATGTTTGTTAGAGTTTAACACCTAAGCGGTTGAACGGATCTCGATTAGATTCTGCACAGATATATATTTTTTTACAGTTATATATATTTGAAGGGGGCAAACGAGCGGCGGGAACACAGAGGTGGTCAGATATAGTCTGGAAGAACACATTATAGGCTACTTACTTTTTTATATAATTCCACGCGGTAATAATAAAAAATATCTAACGTCAATATCAGTTACACAAATTTACGATAGTTATATTCCCTACATATATTTAAGCTATCGTTATTTGCACAAAATCATAGTTCAATACGAGTTCCGTTATGAAACAACGGCGGTATTCGACTAATTGCTTGGGAAATGGTTCTCATCTCCGGTTTAACGCCATCTAGCCGTTTATTATCGCAACAATTGCGTTCAACTAAAAATGTTTTTCAACTCATATTAATTTTTAAAATCCAAGGCACGAACGGCAACGAGCACTTAATGGTTTATGTGTATTTCTCATATTAAAACTACACTTAGAAAGATTACGTTTTGACTACGATACTTACAAAATATTAACAAAAATAGCTAAAGATCGAGTCATTATTGTTCGCACGTTACCTTAGCGGTTGGTGAACTAGAAGGCTCATCGAACAATGCCCATATCTTAGGTTTGATCCTCTGCCAGATGCCCAGCTCTCCAGAAAGATACGCCTCCTCATACCCGAAGAGTCTAGCAATTTCTTCTTCTGACGGCTTCTCGCTGTCGATGTCCAATTTATCCAGTATCGCCAGCGTATTCTAAAACCAAAAATGTATTTAATAGTTTCTAATACAATCGTCAGTCATAGCTAAAAATCCGTTCAATTCTTATTATAATAAAGTGTATTGTAGACACTAACATTTTTCTGATTACCGTAATTATAGATCTAGAAAAATTAATATCTGTCCCATCGCTAAAAATCAAAACGAATAAAAAACAAAACAATCGTATTCGTTCCACAACAACAATGCAAGTTTTTGTATTGCCGCTGCTTTACGCGCAATTCTAGACGTTGTACCATAAACATAAGTACGAAAATCCTATGCATCGTACAACCGGCCATCTTACTCGGTGACGTACACGCCATAGATTAAGTGACAAAGACTAAACAGTGCAGATTCGACGTATTGCTTGCTTTTTCGTACTAGTCTCTGAGAGGCATGTTTACTAATTCAGATACTAAATTAAAATCATGAAATGCATTGTATGCGCTAATCATATTAAATATTTATGCTCTATTCAATGTATGTCAAAGTTTTTAATGTCTTGGATCACTGTATAAAACTGCTGCTTTTCTTTAAAAAAAGTCTCATTTGCGTTCGTCGAAAAAAATATTTGATTATTTAAAACTGATGTCATAAAAAATGGAAAGGTTACGTGCTGTTCATATTATGTGGGGCTTTTCAGTACGTTAAACAAAATTAACATAAAACGTGTTATGAGGTGTTATCATTTTAAACGTACACAAGGGGGACGATATTGACGTCATAAAACTGCGCTCGGCGAGTTTCTTCCTTTATATATTTTTAAATATGAGAACTACGAACATACATAGAAGTGACTAGTTAAATAAACACTTATTGATATAAAAATTTTGATATTGACTGTTATCGAATCGTCAAATCCTTCTTAGTGTATGTTTAGTATAATTAAATATACTTAGGATGTTTAATACTGATTAAATAACTGTGAGAGTGGCATTTAGAATACTCATCTAAATGTTCACTAAACGAAATACGCAGTTTTACAATTCGAATTCTCGATAGCAAAAGTCGATTAACGATGATGTTAAAAGAGTTACAACAAAACAAGCGTAACGAGGATTATCTGACATCTATGTTAAAAAAAATATATAAAAAAGTAATATAAACTTATTGATTTTTTTTTCGTGCAGTTTTTAATAATGTCCGAAGCGTTAGCTTGTTATCCATCCAGTGTTATCCGAGCTAATGAACAAAATGATCCCGCTGTTAAGTCTGAGTTATATTGCGATTTTGAATAATAGAAATCCCTATGCAACACATTTGAAAGAAAAAAAAACAATAATTACAGTCTTAAAACGTACATTTTTTTTATAACAATGCAGTAAAAAACCCATAATGTATGGGTTTTAAAATCTTGAACTAACCACAGGAAATCCTTATCAAACAGTTTTAGAATATCTCAGCCTATATAAAGATAAAAATATGGGCGTCGCTAACCGTTGACCTAGACTAGCTAGGGCCACCCTCTAACTATAATTATGTCTAATTTCCAGTAATTTCATTTCTCAATGCTCTAGGTTGATGGCTGCCTTTACCACAAACTTCTCTTCTTTAAATTGAATGTTTTAGATTAGCTTGCAATATAGTTATAAATAAACTAGCTGTTACTTGCGACTTCATCCGCGTGAAACTAAAAAATATAGCCTATGTTACTCACAGATAAATTACCTTTCTAACGGTGGCAAAATCATTAAAATTGGCCAAGTAGTTTTTGAGTTATTTCAATATTGAAATAGATATATATCCAAGAAAGTACAGATGAGAAAAAATTAGACATCTTGAGTTTGTGTCTCAATTTGAGTATCGATTATGCCGGTTTCCGAAGTACATATTAACCTTATTATATTGGAAGAGGATAAATCTTGGATCTCGTCGACCATTAGTTAGGATCTGAACATTCCTATTAAGTATTATAATGGATACAAAGGGAATTGATTCGATGGCGCTCAAAGGGCCGTAAATATAATGAAGTACATTCCGCCACTGAAATCCGGATTTTCAATCTACAAGCCAAATAAAGGTCTCGGCTAAATTAAATAACAAATTGCGGTTTTGTCCTTTAAATGTATTGCTATAAATTGTACTGAATATTAAATCAAAATATGATATAACGTTTAAATTAATTCTTTTATTACTAAGCTGTGGTTGGTTTTCTTTATTCTCTGTGGAACAATTTTAAGAATTTTCAACGTTAGTTCTTTCAGATTTTTTACTTCGATTTTTTTATTTATGGTTATTAAAAACTACCTTAAATTTGTATGTAAATTGTTAATACAATTGATAACTAACGTGTAGGGCATTCATTACCAGCCTACCCTAAAGGTGACTAGGTCTTAGTCAACCACGCTGACCAAGTGCGGGTTCCTTACTTCACAAAAATCTATGAATTTCTTCGCTGATATGTGCAGGCATCACAATGTTTTCCTTTACATAATTTACCTGACGTTTTTACGGTGGAAAATAATGTACATACATATGAAATTCTAAAATATACATTAGTACATGGCGGGATTCGAATCCAAGACTAGTAGATTACAAGTCAAGTGCTTAAACCCCTGAGTTACTGACGCTTTTTGTTGCTCTTTTTTAGGGAATTAAGAAGTTTAAAATGTCTGTATATTTCTATAACGTTTTATCAATTTCATACTAATAATTGAAGACAATTTTCTGTGTCTTTTAACCTTAAATAAGTCTTCTTTTATGTACTCTTTCTACAATGTACTCGACAAAGAGAATTACGTTACATGTGTGAGTGTTGGTTCAAGTAATCCTCAAGTCGAGAGCTTTGTGTGCTTGCCTTTGTTTGTACTTGACACATTGGCAACTTGATAGCACTTATCTTTACTTCAGGAAGTAACCTTTAAGCTAACATTGAATAATAGAATAATTTAAATACTATAGTGATCTAATAATTAATTAAGCGCCAATAGTCTAATGGTTTGGGATACGGACTACCGATCTTGCGGTCGAGAGTTCGAATCCCGTCCAATATTAAAGTTTATTTTTGATCAGTTTTTTTTTTAATAAATACATTGAAAAGGTTATTTCCTTCGAATCTATAAGCATCTAGTATTTAATTTAAAAGAAATTATATTCTTATAATTTAATATTTAAACAGAAACTTTAGCGATGCAATTTTATTTTAAATGTGAACCCGGTGTGTTCGTCCAAGCTCGACTTCCACAGACATCTAGCCGTCTATCAGTTGTCTGATTAACACTCCGCTAGATTTAGCTATTGATCAGTGTTTGAAATATCCCGAAGTTTAACTGAAACACAATCTAATAACTAGTTTGTTATAAACCTCAGGTTTAAGACTCAAAACCATACAGACAGGTAAATAAAAATTAGTATACATTTAAAGTAACGAATGTTTGAGATGTTGTGGATAATGGCATGTTTTCTTTAAAAAATATTATCTACTAGATGTTGCTCGCGACTTCGTCCGTGTGAAATATGGTGCAAGAATTATTGAAATCGGTCCAGTAGTTTTTGATTTATTTCAATACATACAAAAATACAAATCTTTCCTCTTTGTAATGTTAGCATGGATTATTAATTGGTTTATGACCGGTTTCTCAGCTACATTTAATTATTAGTTAGAGTTTTTGATAGATTCATGACTGCGTTTCCGAACTACGTAACTTGTGTTTACTTGAAACTTAGATTAACTTAACACTAACGAATCACTAGGTAATATTAAAATAAATGGAAACTTCAACAATCATTACTGAGCTACAATTTTAATTTTTGTCTCAAACTTTTTCAGTTTTAAAATAAGTGATGTTAGTGACTAAGCGTGCTTATCTGTGACGAACGAGGACGTGTCGTGTGACCGTGTGCTTAATCCCGGATAATGGAGACGAGTACAGCGTTCGCTTTTACTATTCAATATAGTTGCATGTATTGAATACCACCGTTTTAAGAGTTAGATGTTTTCTAAATTCGAATAAAGTAAAGTTAGGTATTAGATTGTTAATGAACAACAGTTTAAGGTTAGATCTAATGGCCGGTTTCCCAGCTGCGTTTAACCATTCGTTAGTGTTCTTGGTTCGGTATATCATAAAATTCGTTTCCGAATTAAAATAACTTTAGTTTTCTTCCATTGAAACATACGTCAAATTAACACTAAGGAATCGCTAGGTAATGATAAATTAAATGGAAACTTCAGAAACTCAGCATTAGTGGGTTATAAAAAAACTTATTTTAAAAAAGTACTGGCCATTTAGAATGACATTGTTTACAAATTGTTAGGAGAAAATAGGTAGACTTTTTTCCTTCAAGCAAAACTAGAGCCAATATGACGCATAGTAAAAGAAGTACATAACAATACGCGTATTTCTTACATAAAGCTACGTCCAACTTTGTATCGTACGTGAAAGTAATAAAAGACGAGAATATATTCTATTTACCAAGTGACATACATATATATGAGTTTGGAATTAGATATAGCGTGTTATAAATGACATTTATATTTCATCGTAGGAAAATATATCTATACTATTATAATAAAGCGTAAACACGCACTTCTTTGTTGCCTAAGATGTCAGCAATTACAGCAAATTTTTGAATAAGTCTTTTTTTGATAAAAAGCCCTCCACTACCATCACGCTTTAGGCTATATATTTTCACGCCATTAAACTTAGGGGGTAAATATTTTGGTTAAAAACCCTAATGTAGGAAAGAGACCATAAGTTGCTGCCAACATCAAGAAAGAAAGATTACTAAGATTTGTCATGTCATGTCATTTTGACATTTGCAATTGAGAATTTGACAAATGTAAATAATAAAATAAAGTTTTTATAATTTCACGAGGATGAAATAGCACTGGAACGGCTAGTTTACAAATACAAACACTTTCTTACCTAATATACATATGTGTACAAAACAAGATAGTGGTATTTAGAAATTGTGTTGTTGACAGACATTTTACTGTACTTTTCATATCAATTTGTCCATTTAACTGTACGTACTCATGGCAATATTATATATGC